AAAGCTGGACAGAGTATTGCGAGACAAGAGAATTTCTGTCGTAATGAAGAAAAGAATACTGAACTGTTACGTTGCAGAGGGAAGGAACTCGTTGAATGCTTCAAGGGATAGAGGGAAGTGGAGATCCATAATCGCCTACGTCCTGAAAGGACACGGCACATTTTTTTTTTCTTATGGTTTATGTCATATCAACCTCAAAGGATTATTTGCCTGTCGGGAACACTAGAATCAAACAGATGCGGAAGTTTAAATATCTAGGAAACGCTTTGACAGTGTAAATGCGATACTGACATCCGTAGATGTATTGGGATGGTCAAGGATGTATTCCAAAAGCTGGGAAGAGTATTGCGAGATAGCAGAATTTCTTTGTTAATTAAGGAAAAGAATACTGAGCTGTTACGTGGCATCTGTCCTTTACGGCAGCGAATGCTGGACGATTTCTTGAGAGATGAAGGAAAGCCTTGAGGCGACGGAGATGTTGTTCTACAGAAGGATGCTAAGGATATCATGGAACGAACTTAGAGACGATGAAAACAAGGAGGAGGCTTATACTTAACATCAGGAAGAGGCAGCTGAAGTTCCTGGGACACATAATGAGGAAGGAGGGTCTGGAGAATCTGATACTCACGGGTCGAATAGAGGGAAAAAGAGAAAAGGGAAAACAATGCATAACATACCTAGAGGCCTTAAGCAAGTGGATGACAGAACGTGGCCTGGGGATGTGGCAGAGGGAAGGAACTCATTGAGTGCTTTAAGGGATGTGAGGAGCCATAATCGCCTACGTTCCGAAAGGACACGGCACATCGAAAGAAAACAATGCCAACATTTTTTTTTCTTATGGTTTATGTCATATCAACCTCAAAGGATTATTTACCAGTCGGGAACACTAGAATCAAACAGATGCGGAAGTTTAAATATCCAGGAAACATTTTGACAGAGGGCGGTTAATGCGATACTGACATCCGTAGATGCATTGGGATGGTCAAGGATGCATTCCAAAAGCTGGGCAGAATATTGCGAGACAGGAGGATTTCGATGGTAACGAAGAAAAGAATAATGAGCTGTTATGTGACATTTTTCCTTTACGGCAGCGAATGTCGGTCGATTTCCTCAAAATGAAGAAGAGCCTCCTGGCGAAGGAGATGTGGTTCTACAGAAGGATGCTAAGGATATCATGGAACGAACGTGTGAGCAACGATGAGGTTTTAGAGAGGTTGAAAACAAGGAGGAGGCTTATACTTAACATCAGGAAGAGGCAGCTAAAGTTACTGGGACACATAATGAGGCAGGATTGCCTGGTGAATCTCATACTCACGGGTCGAATAAAGGGAAAGAGAGACAATGGAAAACAAGGTATAACATACCTAGAGGCCTTAAGCAAGTGGATGATAGAATGTGGTCTGGGGGATGTGGCAGAAGGAAGGAACTCGTTGAGTGCTTCAAGGGATTGAGGGAAGTAGAGACTTATGATCGCCTACGCCTTGAAAGGACACGGCAAATAGAAAGAAAACAATGCCAACATTTTTTTTTATTATGGTTTATGTCATATCAACCTCAAAGGATTATTTGTCTGTCGGGAACACTAGAATCAAACAGATGCGGAAGTTTAAATATCCAGGAAACGTTTTGACAGAGGGCGGTAAATGCGATACTGACATCCGTAGATGCATTGGGATGGTCAAGGATGCATTCCAAAAGCTGGGCAGAATATTGCGAGACAGGAGGATTTCGATGGTAACGAAGAAAAGAATACGTGACATCTGTCCTTTACGGCAGCGAATGTTGGACGATTTCCTCAAAATGAAGAAGAGCCTCGTGGCGAAGGAGATGTGGTTCTTCAGAAAGAAGCTAAGGATATCATGGAACGAGCATGTGAACAACGATGAGATCTTAAAAAGATTGCAAACAATGAGGAGGCTTATACTTAACATCAGGAAGAGGCAGCTAAAGTTACTGGGACACATAATGAGGCAGGATTTGTGTACTATTTGAATTGTTTGCGAGATGGATGTCTCGCCATTTAAATCTTTGCATTAGTTTTGTGTGAATAATTCATGTATTTGTAAATTGATTGCACGTTTATTGTAATTTAAATAACTGATCCATGTGCGACTTTTGGTTAATAAGTGCGACATTACTGTAATTATTGAACAATATGGTTCATGCCACTTTGACAGTAAAATTTACCAGTAAAATAATTTGTTCATTACCATATTTGGTATAAACGCAAACACTTTAAAAAATTTTTCAAACTCAGCGTTGCTTTGGCGCGTTCAAAAACCAATATCTCATTTTCAATAGCATTTCGGATACAATACACATATATTTTGGATGTCCTCTTATTACTAAGAGAAAAAAACAAGAACAACATCTATTATATACCTGAAGATGTCTGTAGGAACAGACGAAAGCTTGTAGTAAAAATAACAACTAATACGGCAGAAATTTATATAAACAAGGATCAATTCATTCATAACGGATCTGGAGGTTTTGTGTACTATTTGAATTGTTTGCGAGATGGATGTCTCGCCATTTAAATCATTAACCTTTGCATTAGTTTTGTGTTAATAATTCATGTATTTGTAAATTGATTGCACGTTTATTGTAATATATATATATATATATATATATATATATATATATATATATATATATACTAGTATAACCCGTCTTTGACCGGTTGTTTCATTACTGGGTATTTTGCCGTTCAGTTGGAGCAGTTTAAGTTTAAAGTCTGCCCACCTGAAAATCAATATTAGTAACAACATTTGGGTGCAACTGAGGCACATCCCGAAATGGGGGGGTAACAATTTGAATAGGGGTTGGCCCAGAAAAGGGAATTGTATAATAATAAATGATATTACTGTAATAATTTAAACTATTTATTTTTATTAAAGTTTTTATGAAAGCTATATATCCAAAAACGGATGGTAAATAATAAAACTTTGCTGAGAGTTATAATAGTCAGGAAGTAGTGGAGATCCATTTTCGCCACTAATATGGATTCAAAACCGGCACTGAAGAATAATCTATCAAACAAAAAAAATTCATCGAAATCGGATGAAGACTGTAAATGCGTAAACAACACTGCTCTCACACACACACGCTCACATACGTAGACAGACATATTTTGAAATTATATATATATATATATATATATATATATATATATATATATATATATATATATATACATATATATATATATATATATATATATATATATATATATATATATATATATATATATATATATATATATAGATAAGAGACAAGATGATGGAAACTAGAGGAGGCAAAATTCAAACAAAACACTCAGAACCCAAAAATGGCAAATGCCTGCGATCACACTTAAATGATATATATATATATATATATATATATATATATATATATATATATATATATATATATATATATATCAGGTGTAATAGCAAAATTGTCCAAATTGTGTAACAGCAAAATTGTTCAATTGTTAGGTTAAGTTCTGAACAGCGCGTTTGGATTTTTATAACACTATTAGACTCTACTTTAAGCAATAAGAATATATAATTACTTTCCAAGCTTAACTGAACAATCGTGATGAAATCGATCATAAACGAAAATGACATGTTCATCATTAATTAATCGTAGCTAAGAATCAGAAGCTCATGAAGAATTGAAATAATGTTCAAATATATATATATATATAAATGATTTGGAAATAATATATATATATATATATATTATTTCAGAATCATTTTCCAATTTATGATGATCTTCGTTCTTTCTATCCTAAACTAAAAAGCCTCACAGGTTTCACGTACGATTTCATTTTCAAGTCTTTTTCCACTGCTCTTTGGACTGTCATAGCTAAAATTCCTGTCTCACGGACCAAACACCTTATGGATTTAGTTGGATCTTTTCTAATTGATCTCTTTAGCTCTAAGTTGATATGATGATGCCTCTTCCTGTTGTGACCTCCTGATACAGCTTTCTCTTTATTGTTCTCTCTTTTTTAAACTTATTCACCATTCTCTTGATGCTTCTTGAATGAATTTGAAGATGGAAGCCTTTCGATGTTGTTGCTTTTTTAATTTTAAACGTTGGACCTCGAGGTTGATCCTGACTCAATCGCTATGGATGGGAAAAGATTTGATCCGAGATTTGCTCGACTCAGATACGACGCATTTGCATTCACACGACCTGATTCACAATGGAAAAAAGTAAATAAAATAGAAAACGAAAACGAGAATTTGTGACCATTGAACTGCAAAGATTTTGCTTGAAATTTTGTATCTTCGCCTAATGTTTTGTTACATTTTTGTTCTTAATAGCGGTAAGATTTGTTTTCACTTAAAATCCCACTCTTAAAAGATTTGCTTTATCTGGATGCAAAAAAAAAAAAAGATTTATATTTCTTTATGTTTGATTTGATATCGTTCCAAAAAATATTTCTAATGATCTGTCAGAATTCCGCCATTTTATTCCGCGCTAAAGATTCTAATGCCTACTGCACTTTCTGCCGTATTAAAGAACAAAAGAGAGAAAACTTGACCATTGAAAACTATATATGTTTATATATAAATTAGTTTTACAATCAAAGAAAGTTTTCTTCTTAAGGTTGGCGTTGCAAGTGTTGACAAAAATTAAACGATTTTGGTTCATAATTATAAACTTAAAACCTATATACACTACTAGCAACTAATAAAAAGTCAGCGAATATATTTTGTTGGTTTTCTTTATCTTTCCTTATCTGATTTAAATCCGAAGAAAATGTTATTTCGTCTGAAAAAATATTTAAATGTTAATGGACCTTCTCAGAACTATAGAAAATACCAAAATTGTTCGTTGTTTGCGGGGATATTTATATCTTATCTAGGAATATGACTCAGTTATTCTCATTTGATCTCCTGTTTTTTATTCTTCATTATAACGGAATTATACGTTTTGTTTCAATTAATTTGCACAAGAATGTATATATAGTTTTTGGTTGAAGAAATGGATTCGCAAGGAAAATAATGACAACGAGGCGGAAACTATTCTGTCTGTCTGTCCCTCTGCCTTTCTCTATCTCTTTCTTTCTTTCTTTTTTGTGTTTGTTTCTTTCTTTCGTTTTCTGTCATTGCATCTATCACTTTTTGTACTGTTATTCTTTAACTTTTTCTTTCTTTCTTTCTTTCTTTCTTTCTTTCTTTCTTTCTTTCTTTCTTTCTTTACGTTTTCTTTCTTTCTTTATCTTACATTCTGTTTCTTTTTCTTTCTTTCTTTCTTTCGTTTTCTGTCATCGCATTTATCACTTTTTGTACTGTTATTTTTTTACTTCTTTCTTTCTTTCTTTTGTGTTTCTTTTGTCTTTGTTTGTTTACGTTTTCTTTCTTTCTTTATTTTACATTCTGTTTCTTTTTCTTTCTTTCTTTCTTTCTTTCTTTCTTTCGTTTTCTATCATTGCACCTATCACTTTTTGTACTGTTATTCTTTTACTTCTTTCTTTCTTTCTTTCTTTCTTTCTTTCTTTCTTTTTGTCTTTCTTTTGTCTTTGTTTATGTTTTCTTTCTTTCTTTATTTTACATTCTGTTTCTGTTTCTTTCTTTCTTTCTTTCTTTCTTTCTTTCGTCTTCTGTCTTTCTCTGTTTACGTTTTTTTTTCTTTCTTTCTTATTGTCTACTCTTTCCTGTTTTTTTCCTTCTTTCTTAAGCGTTTTCTGTCTTTCTTTGTTTATTCCTATCTTTTTCTTACTTTCTGTTGCCTCTTCTTTCTTTCTTCCTTTCTTTCTTTCTTTCTTTCTTTCTTTCTTTCTTTCTTTCTTTCTTGCTCGCAAATCAGTCACCGATGACAAAGTAACCTTCCTCGACTTTTGAGCCTATAAAAACATCCTTAATTCTCAGTACATCAATTCCTGCCTAGTTTCTTAAACCTGAACCCCACCAGAGCTCAGCCTTCCTTTAATTCTTTATATAGGACAGGAGATTCACCGTCGAGAAACCCTTCTTTATTTGTTTACCGACCCGGACTTCTCGTAATCATCACTTATACAAACGGCTATATCAACAAAGACCAAGCTGTCTGTCAACACAATTTGACATGTAGTACGCGCTATGCGAATCTTTCTGAGCATGTGCGTGCAACATTGCACATGCGTCTGCTACAAGAAACTAGAAGGAGAGGTCAATGCTTTGAGAATGGAAGGGTGAATTGATTGATGAGGCGAAAATGCAGATCGACTCACCAAATCGTGTCCGTCGATTTGGCTTAAGACACTCCTGTTTGGTACATAAAATTTAGCAACATGGACCCCAAATCAAACCAAACGACAACAAGAATGATTGTAGCAAGAATCAGATTCAAACGCGTATTAAACATTGAAACAATATAAGAATGATATTGACATCTAATAGTATCCGTGGAAATTCCACAGTTTTCCTATTATTAGTGATTGATCATAATTCTTAATTTATTGAATTAATAAGTTTCTCGCGATTTCCACGACAATAAAATATCCTTGAAAATTCCACTATTTGTAAATTATTGTTAACATTATTCAATTAAATATTAAAATATCTTCTAATTAAATAACCGGCAAATTCTGTCTGTCGGTTCGTGTATCTGAAACTCCTCTAATTCGGGTCAAACTTGCTCTACATAGACATATTAAACCTTTTTGGAATCAGGATGATCCTGGAATAAAAAAAAATCTGACCTTCATCTGGTGTTTAAACATCGAGAATTGAAATTTGTGTTCGGATGAGGAAGGAACAGTTAAAAATTAAAATTTTAAATTAACTGAATTAATTTAATGATTTTATCTTTTTAATTTATATTGAGTTTAAAGTAACTCAAAAACTTTGTTAATTTAAAACAAAAATTTTTGAATACAGTTTAAGATATCTCCAAAACTTTGTGAATTGAGGAAATTAGTTTTATTTCTTCAAAATGTAAAGGAATTAGAGTTAAAATGAAAGATTTCGTGACGTGAGGTTTTAACGATCCTCAAAGTTTGTGATTGCAAAAACTCAACTCAACTGAAGTTTGTGATTTGAAGAACTCAGTCCCCCAGCTCACGAATTAAAATTTCGGCCCAAATCAGAGTTTCGGTCCAAATCGATCTTTTGACCGGAATTGAACTTATAGCCCGGATGTGAGATAAAATGAGGTTTTGAATTTCCATGGGGGGGAAGAATTCAAAGTTATTTCTTCAAAATTATCTTTAATTTATGTTGATTTTAAAGAACACAAACACTTTATGAATTTAATTTTTCTTGTTTTAATTTCCGTTAAAATATCTCCAAAACTTTGTGAATTGAGGAAATCAATTTTATCTCTTCAAAATGACAAGGAGTCTTAGTACGACTTCGGAATCAACGCACTCGATTAAGTACTGTACGTCTTCATTTGTAACGTACAACATTTTTTTGCTACTGTTGTTACTTTATCATAAGCAGGATAATTGATATATGCAAAAATGCAATAACTTCTGACTGAGCCTCTCGGAATCAGCGCACTGGATTTAATCTAGAACGCACGCTTTTTTCTCAGTAGCCAGAATTTTGTAGCGCAGTGTTATTTATTACTCCCCAAAAATCGAGAATTCTTTGCGGATGAAGCAATCATTTTTTCATTTTTACTCTGAATTTTAATCCCTTTATTTCTGGGTCGATGGAAATTCTTCTTCAATTAAAATCTTAATCTTAATTTCACGGTCTCTTAAAGTTTGTATTTATTCTTTCAAGGAGTAGGACTTGATATTTATGCTCTTTTCACCACATTCATTTTCTGCTATCATTTATCGTTCCACTTCCGGTCTATGTCTGCCTGTTTTCCGGTCAGAAATCCACAACACAATTAACCGTCTTACGTGCAGGCGAATGTAATCGTACTGAAGAATGGAACCATTTTTGTTACTAACTTCCAAGTTAAAAACGAGTACAAAATAACATTCCCGATATTGAGCCATCGTTCACAGAATTAAACGTTCGTGTTTTTAAAAAAATAATCCTTTCCTTTTTATTCTTTTCGTGAATTGTTTTGCTTTTATTTAGTTTTTCTTTACTTTTTCGTTTTCATTCTTTTAGGTCTTTGTCATTAATTCCTTGTTTCTTTCCTGTTATCATACGCTTTCTTATTTTCTGTATTTCTTTAACAGATCTTTTATCTTTCTGTTACTGTTTGTTCTTTCTTTCTTTCTTTCAATTTTATCGATATTTCTTTCTTACTTCCTACCATTTTATTTTTGTTCTTTTAATCTTTCTTTTTTTCTTTTATTTTACTTCTTTCTACATTTTCTCGTCTCTCTATTTTCGTCTCTTTCATCATTCAAATTTTTTGTTATTATTCTTTATTTTTGTTTAATTCTTTCACCTTTAATTGCATATATTTCTGTTATCTTTTGGAAACATTCTCATCACTTAAGCCAATCTTTTTCTTTCTTTCTTTCGTTGTTTGTTTGTTTCTTTCTTTTTTCTTTGTTTCGTTTACATTTTTCTCTTTCTTTCGTTTTAGTTTGTATCACTTTCTTCTTTGTTTTCTTTTGGTTTCATTTTTCTCTCTTTTTTCTTTCTTTCTTTTCTATTTTTCGTTTTAGTTTCTTTCAATTTTTCGTTGTCTTTTTTCGTTTTCATTTTTCTCTTTTTTCTTTCTTTTTTCTTTCATTTTAGTTCTCTCTCACTTTCATTTTGTTTTCTTTCTTTCGTTTTCATTTTTTTCTTTCTTTCTTTCATTCATTTTTTCTTTCTTTCTTTCGTTTTCATTTTTTTCTTTCTTTCTTTCATTCATTTTTTCTTTCTTTCATTCATTTTTTCTTTCTTTCTTTCATTCATTTTTTTCTTTCTTTCTTTCGTTTTCATTTTTTTCTTTCTTTCTTTCATTCATTTTTTCTTTCTTTCTTTCGTTTTCATTTTTTCTTTCTTTCTTTCATTCATTTTTTCTTTCTTTCATTCATTTTTTCTTTCTTTCTTTCATTCATTTTTTTCTTTCTTTCTTTCGTTTTCATTTTTTCTTTCTTTCTTTCATTCATTTTTCTTTCTTTCATTCATTTTTTCTTTCTTTCTTTCATTCATTTTTTCTTTCATTCATTTTTTCTTTCTTTCTTTCGTTTTCATTTTTTTCTTTCTTTCGTTTTCACTTTTTCTTTCTTTCTTTCATTCATTTTTTCTTTCTTTCATTCATTTTTTCTTTCTTTCTTTCATTCATTTTTTTCTTTCTTTCGTTTTCATTTTTTTCTTTCTTTCTTTCGTTTTCATTTTTTCTTTCTTTCTTTCATTCATTTTTTCTTTCTTTCATTCATTTTTTCTTTCTTTCTTTCATTCATTTTTTCTTTCTTTCTTTCGTTTTCATTTTTTTCTTTCTTTCTTTCATTCATTTTTTTCTTTCTTTCATTCATTTTTTCTTTCTTTCTTTCATTCATTTTTTCTTTCTTTCTTTCGTTTTCATTTTTTTCTTTCTTTCTTTCATTCATTTTTTTCTTTCTTTCGTTTTCATTTTTTCTTTCTTTCTTTCGTTTTCATTTTTTCTTTCTTTCTTTCGTTTTCATTTTTTTCTTTCTTTCTTTCGTTTTCATTTTTTTCTTTCTTTCTTTCCTTCATTTTTTCTTTCTTTCTTTCTTTCTTTCTTTCTTTCGTTTTCATTTTTTTCTTTCTTTCTTTCGTTTTCATTTTTTTCTTTCTTTCTTTCGTTTTCATTTTTTTCTTTCTTTCTTTCATTATTTTTTCTTTCTTTCATTCATTTTTTCTTTCTTTCTTTCGTTTTCATTTTTTTTTTCTTTCTTTCTTTCGTTTTCATTTTTTTCTTTCTTTCTTTCATTCATTTTTTTCTTTCTTTCTTTCATTCATTCATTTTTTTCTTTCTTTCTTTCATTCTTTTTTTTCTTTCTTTCATTCATTTTTTTCTTTCTTTCTTTCGTTTTCATTTTTTTCTTTCTTTCTTTCGTTTTCATTTTTTTCTTTCTTTCTTTCGTTTTCATTTTTTTCTTTCTTTCTTTCATTCATTTTTTCCTTCGTTTTTTTTTACTTTCTAACCTTTTACTTTCATTCTTTCGAAAATACATTTTTCTAATCTTTTTGTTCATTTAACCTTCTCTTCTTTTTTTATTTCTCCCTTCACTTTTCCTTCAATTCTAAATTTCTTTTCCTTTCATTCATTATTCCTTTTCTTCTTTTCTCTCTCTCTCCTCATCCTCACACACTTACATCTTTATATTCAAATTTATTTTCTTTTTTATATTCACTCTTCCAACTTTTTATTTTGATGTTTTTTCTTTCTTTCTTGCGTCTCTATTCTTTCATGATTTCGCCCTCTCTGTTTATTTATCTACCTATCTATGTTGACCTACATGTCTATCAGTCTAGCTAGCTAGCTAGCTTAATGATGAAAATCATTTATTTTAGACAAAAAACTGTTTATTTTTCGACATAATCTTCCTTGTCAATACAGTTTATTCACAGTGAAAATTAATCTCATAGAACTAAACTCAATAACCACTTTAATAAAATTACGCGTCAAGCTATGGAGTTATTGATCGATGCCCCCAACTCCAAGAGCATTCTGTAATTATTTCTTATTTTAGTCTTCTTCATGACCCTTTCTTTCTTTCTTTCGCATCTATCTCATCTCAGATTTTCCACGTTCTTTGTTTCTACATTTTGAAGCAAATCGAGTACTTAAAGCTACGGTTTTCACATACGTTTTTATACAGTCTACTTTCATTATTTATTTCTTTGTTTCTTTTCTTTCTTTTCTTTCCTTCTGTCTTTCTTTAATCTCATATTTTCCACGTACTTTGTTTCTACATTTTGAGGGAAATCAAGTCCTTAAATCCACCATCTTTCTCATGCGTTTTTATAAACCGTCACCGTTCATTATTTGTTTCTTTATTTCTTTGTTTGTTTCTTTTCTTTTCTTTCTTTTTTCTTTCTTTCTTTCTTTTCTTTTATTTTCTTTTCTTTTCTTTTTTTTCTATCTTTCTTTCTTTTCTTGTCTTTTCTTTCTTTCTTTCTTTCTTTCTTTCTTTCTTTCTTTCTTTCTTTCTTCTGCTATTTTTCTAAGTTGTTACAATATTTTTTCTCCTTATACTTTTCAATTCCTTTTCATAGGCTCTTTATTTCCCATAATTTCCCGGTTATTATTTGCCTTTATTTGCTCGGTGGGCTATTCAAAGCCCAGATACTGAAAAATAAGCGACGTTTTTTTTTTTTTTTTTTTTTAAAAAAAAAGGAACATTTACATTGAGAAAGAAAATTAGAAGAATATTGGGAAATGAGCAATAAAAGAAAGAAAGAAATAATGAAAGAATGAAAGAAATAATGAAAGAATGAAAGGTGATGAAGTGAGAAAAATAGAAGGGACAAAGAGACAGAAAAATCGCTTCTTGGTCAGGACTTGAATTTTCGGTGCCATCATTTTGATAGAGACATCTGAACAGGCTGTGATAGATAGATATGGGCAAACTTAGATAGATAGATAGATAGATAGATAGATAGATAGATAGATAGATCTGGCAGACATAGATAGATAGATAGATAGATAGATAGATCTGGCAGACATAGATAGATAGATAGATAGATAGATCTGGCAGACATATATAGATAGATAGATAGATCTGGCAGACATAGATAGATAGATAGATAGATCTGGACAGACATAGATAGATAGATAGATCTGGACATAGATAGATAGATCTGAAAACTGAGATAGATAGATAGATAGATCTGAAAACATAGATAGATAGATAGATAGATAGATAGATCTGGACATAGATAGATAGATCTGAAAACTTAGATAGATAGATAGATAGATAGATCTGGACATAGATAGATAGATAGATAGAACTGGACAGACTGAGATAGATAAATCGATCTGAAAAACTGAGATAGATAGATAAATAGATAGATAGATCTGGAAAAACTGAGATAGATAGATAGATAGATAGATAGATCTGGACAAACCTAGATAGATAGATAGATAGATCTGGACAAACCTAGATAGATAGATAGAAAGATCTGGACAAACCTAGATAGATAGATAGATAGATAGATCTGGACAAACTTAGATAGATAGATAGAAAGATCTGGCAAACATAGATAGATAGATAGATCTGGCAGACATAGATAGATAGATAGATAGATAGATCTGGACAGACATAGATAGATAGATAGATCTGGCAGACATAGATAGATAGATAGATCTGGACAGACATAGATAGATAGATAGATCTGACAGACATAGATAGATAGATAGATCTGGACAGACATAGATAGATAGATAGATCTGGCAGACATAGATAGATAGATAGATAGATAGATCTGGACAGACATAGATAGATCTGGACATAGATAGATAGATAGATAGATCTGAAAATTGAGATAGATAGATAGATAGATCTGAAAACTGAGATAGATAGATAGATAGATCTGAAAACTGAGATAGATAGATAGATAGATCTGGACATAGATAGATAGATAGATAGATAGATAGAACTGGACAGACTGAAATAGATAAATCGATCTGAAAAACTGAGATAGATAGATAGATAAATAGATAGATAGATAGATCTGGAAAAACTGAGATAGATAGATAGATAGATAGATAGATAGATAGATAGATCTGGACAAACCTAGATAGATAGATAGATAGATCTGGACAAACCTAGATAGATAGATAGATAGATAGATATGGACAAATTTAGATAGATAGATAGATAGATAGATCTGGACAAATTTAGATAGATAGATAGATAGATAGATAGATCTGGACAAATTTAGATAGATAGATAGATAGATAGATAGATAGATAGATAGATCTGGACAAATTTAGATAGATAGATAGATAGATAGATAGATAGATCTGGACAAACTTAGATAGATCTGAAAAACTGAGATAGATAGATAGCGAATGCTATAAATACATGTATTGATCGATATAAAGAAGGCGAGATAGATAATCTCATTGCAATACTATTCCCTCTGGAGAAAAGCGAGACAGAGGAAAGGAAAATTGATGTAGAAAAAAGATGGATGTAATAAAGCGATAAAGAAAGAACGGATGAATGAAAGAAAAAGAAAGAGGAAGGTAGAAAAAAAAAACTTGCTGAAAAAGGAGAGAAAATAACTTAAGAGAAAATAACACGAAAATGATTATTGAAAAATAAGTGATTAAAAAGTCAAAACTAAACAAAGAAAGTGAAAAAGAAAAATTAAATGAAGAAATAAAAGCAGATGAACGAAAATAGGAAGGCAATCAGATGAATGAAAATAGGAAGAAAGGCAGATGAATGAAAATAGGAAGAAAAGTAAATGAATGAAAATAGAAAGAAAATCAGATGAATGACAATAGGAAGAAATGAAGATGAATGAAAATAGGAAGAAAAGTAAATGAATGAAAATAGAAAGAAAATCAGATGAATGACAATAGGAAGAAAGGCAGATGAATGAAAATAGGAAGAAAAGTAAATGAATGAAAATATAAAGAAAATCAGATGAATGACAATAGGAAGAAAGGCAGATGAATGAAAATAGGAAGAAAAGTAAATGAATGAAAATAGAAAAAAAAACAGACGAATGACAATAGGAAGAATGGCAGATGAATGAAAATAGGAAGAAATGTAAAGGAATGAAAATAGAAAGAAAATCAGATGAATGACAATAGGAAGAAAGGCAGATGAATGAAAATAGGAAGAAAAGTAAATGAATGAAAATAGAAAGAAAATCTGATGAATGACAATAGGAAGAAAGGCAGATGAATGAAAATAGGAAGAAAAGTAAATGAATGAAAATAGAAAGAAAATCAGATGAATGACAATAGGAAGAAAGGAAGATGAATGAAAATAGGAAGAAAAGTAAATGAATGAAAATAGAAAGAAAATCAGATGAATGACAATAGGAAGAAAGGAAGATGAATGAAAATAGGAAGAAAAGTAAATGAATGAAAATAGAAAGAAAATCAGATGAATGACAATAGGAAGAAAGGAAGATGAATGAAAATAGGAAGAAAAGTAATTGAATGAAAATAGAAAGAAAATCAGATGAATGACAATAGGAAGAAAGGAAGATGAATGAAAATAGGAAGAAAAGTAAATGAATGAAAAAGAAAGAAAAATCAGATGAATGACAATAGGAAGAAAGGCAGATGAATGAAAATAGGAAGAAAAGTAAATGAATGAAAATAGAAAGAAAATCAGATGAATGAAAATAGAAAAAGCTAAGTGAATGAAAATATGAATAAAAGCAGATGAATGAAAATAGGAAGAAATAGAAGATGAAGGAAAATAGACATAAAAAGCAGATAAATTAGGAAGAAAAGAGGAAGAAAAGTAGTTGAATGAAAATAGGAAGAAAATCCGATGAATGAATTAGACATAAAAGCGGATAAATAAGGAAGAAAAGTAGATGAATGAAAATAGAAAAAACTAAATTAATGAAAATTGAATGAAAATCAAATGAATGAAAATAGAAAGAAAATCAGATGAATGAATAGGAAGAAAGGCAGATGAATGAAAAAGGAAGAAAAGTAAATGAATGAAAATAGAAAGAAAATCAGATGAATGAAAATAGGAAGAAAGGAAGATGAATGAAAAAGGAAGAAAAAATTGAATGAAAATAGAAAGAAAATCAGATGAATGACAATAGGAAGAAAGGAAGATGAATGAAAATAGGAAGAAAAGTAAATGAATGAAAATAGAAAGAAAATCAGATGAATGACAATAGGAAGAAAGGCAGATGAATGAAAATAGGAAGAAAAGTAAATGAATGAAAATAGAAAGAAAATCAGATGAATGAAAATAGAAAAAGCTAAGTGAATGAAAATATGAATAAAAGCAGATGAATGAAAATAGGAAGAAATAACTAGATGAAGGAAAATAGACATAAAAGCAGATAAATTAGGAAGAAAAGAGGAAGAAAAGTAGTTGAATGAAAATAGGAAGAAAATCCGATGAATGAATTAGACATAAAAGCGGATAAATAAGGAAGAAAAGTAGATGAATGAAAATAGAAAAAACTAAATTAATGAAAATTGAATGAAAATCAAATGAATGAAAATAGAAAGAAAATCAGATGAATGACAATAGGAAGAAAGGCAGATGAATGAAAATAGGAAGAAAAGTAAATGAATGAAAATAGAAAGAAAATCAGATGAATGAAAATAGAAAAAGCTAAGTGAATGAAAATATGAATAAAAGCAGATGAATGAAAATAGGAAGAAATAACTAGATGAAGGAAAATAGACATAAAAGCAGATAAATTAGGAAGAAAAGAGGAAGAAAAGTAGTTGAATGAAAATAGGAAGAAAATCCGATGAATGAATTAGACATAAAAGCGGATAAATAAGGAAGAAAAGTAGATGAATGAAAATAGAAAAAACTAAATTAATGAAAATTGAATGAAAATCAAATGAATGAAAATAGAAAGAAAATCAGATGAATGACAATAGGAAGAAAGGCAGATGAATGAAAATAGGAAGAAAAGTAAATGAATGAAAATAGAAAGAAAATCAGACGAATGACAATAGGAAGAAAGGCAGATGAATGAAAACAGGTAGAAAAGCAGATGAATGAAAATAGGAAGAAAAGCTGATGAATGAAAAATAGAAAGCAGTAGTAGATAAATGTAAAAAAAGAAAAGATGAAGGAGAAAAATGAATGAAGAAAGAAAACTGTCGACCAGAATGCCAAATATTAAAATAAAAAGAGAAAACGCGTGATGAAATAGAGAAAACAAGAAGAATTAGATCAATGGGGTAAATTGAATATGATTATGAGGAGGATTGGGGGGTGGAGATATTGAGAAATAATGAATGATGCGAAGAGAAATAAAGTGGTGGGGGGAGAAGAGGAGGAAAGAGCTGAAGTAAAACTGACTAAAGAGAGAAAGATTTCCTCACGGATCAAAGAAGCCATGAGTGATCACAATCGTAGTCGGCAGCCTGTTCTAAGCTGACAGTAGAAAATACCGTTTGCCTGACCCAAGCTGGCGGAAGTCCCCGGAATAATCCGAGCATCCAACGGTGATGGAGCGAGGCCATGACCCGAGATGAGATTAGCATCTCTTCTTAAGCCTCCACCACGCCCTCTGCTCTATTCCTTCCTCCGCCCTCATTGTCTCCGGAACCCTTCTCTCCCTGACAAAAGTCCCCAGAAGAACACACAGACGGATTTTCGCCTAGTGAAGAGCGCATGTCGTAGAACTGATTGATTTTTGCCTGTGTGCTATGCGGATCAGCCTAACTTAATCCTGTTATGGACGTAAAACAACGTGTTGAATTAATTTCAAGTACCGTCAGCCGTGATCTGGGCTGTGATGGCAACAAGAGTTTTAAACCAAGGACAGCCCGCATCGATCTCAGCTTGTCGGCTCTAATCGAATCAGATAGCTTTTGTTAAATTCTCTCTTCTATCTTGCGTTGAACTCTTCGTTCGACCACATATTTTTTTCTCTTTTCTCATTTTCTTTCTTTCTTTCTTTCTTTCTTTCTTTCTTTCTTTCTTTCTTTCTTTCTGTTGTCCGCATTCTATGCCTTCCATTTTCCTTTTTCTCTCTTTCCCTCCCACTTTCTTTCTTTCTTTCTTTCTTTCTTTCTTTCTTTCTTTCTTTCTTTCTTTCTTATTCTGTTTTTATATTTTCCTTTTTCTCTTTCTCTCCGACATTCTTTCTTTCTTATTCTATGTTTCTTTATTTTATTTTTCTCTTTCTCTCCCACTTTCTTTCTTTCTTTCTTTCTTTCTTTCTTTCTTTCTTTCTTTCTTTCTTTCTTTCTTTCTTATTCTATGTTTTTATATTTTCCTTTTTCTCTCTCCCTCTCACTTTCTTTCTTTCTTTCTTTCTTTCTTTCTTTCTTTCTTTCTTTCTTTCTTTCTTTCTTATTCTATGTGTTTATATTTTCCTTTTTCTCTCTCTCCCTCCCACTTTCATTCTTTCTTTCTTTCTTTCTTTCTTTCTTTCTTTCTTTCTTTCCTATTCTATGTTTCTTCATTTTTCTTTTTCTCTTTTCCTCCCACTTTCTTTCTTTCTTTCTTTCTTTCTTTCTTTCTTTCTTTCTTTCTTTCTTTCTTCTTGCCGTTCTATTTTATTGTCTTTTTCTATATTTGCTATTTTTTACCGGTTTTCTTTCTTTCTTTTGAAAATGTGGACATTGGAATCGACACTATATGATTGCCGCATAGTATTATCACGATACAATGCGATCTCCGGACCAAGAAAATCGCATTAAATTGTGAAGATGACATTAACTACGCATTGTTGATTCCTATGTCCACCCTGTATATCCATCATTTTTTCTAAGCATTCCACCTCAAGCAACGCGATGGAGCCCCTAAGACGCTTGGGTTTAGTAAGTATAAATGAAACCGGAAAAAATGTTAGTGAGGAGATGGAATGATAAAATAACAGGATTCAAGGAAATAAAAGATGACAATTGACACTGCATTTAATTTTTTGAAGATCGTAATTGGTAGGGAAACACGAAGTCGGAATAAAATTTTACAGGCGATAAAAAAACATAGAAACAATGCTCACTGTTAAATGACACTGCTATTTAATATATATATATATATATATATATATATATATATATCAGAAATATACATAATGCGTTACATTAATTGCACAATTTCACAATATCATGGCATGAAATTCGGATTTGTGAATTAATATGTTATTATGTATACTTCTTGTATATGGAATAAATTCGAATAACCAAGAAATACTATTCTTAAAAGAGTGCTCAATACAGAGTAGAGCAAATGTAATTATTCATTCGAAAATTATAGCATAAATATATTATAAAATCACTACAAAAATAGCCATTGTGTTTCAACTTTTTTAGTGATTTTATAACATATTTATGTTATAATTTTGAATAAATATATATATATATATATATATATATATATATATATATATATATAAATCGAAAAAAAAATCGATTCTCCCGTCGGGTTCGACGTATGAGGGTCAAGCAGATCAGTTTGCAGGAAACTGACAGCCGGACACCGGCACATGAGATTCGACTATAGTGGTGAAGGTTTCGTGCAGGACCATCCACACTTTTTGAAGGGCCGAATACAGAGACCTGGTGCACTACTATATATATATATATATATATATATATATATATATATATATATATGTATGTATGTATTAGGCATGTCTGATTGAATAAATTACAGACATTATGTCTGCTAATTTTTAATAAAATCCGTTCATACTCACGAATAACCTTCTGTGTATTGATGTTAAAGGATGAGAGAAATGTGGTATAGATATTTAAATTTCTTCTATTTTCATTTCCCAAGTGCTTTTGATCTTTTACCAAGATCATCTTCAGGGCTGCAAGTAGTACAAAACTATATATTGTTCATTAGTACAAGTATTTATACAAAGTTATCCATTAACATAATTTTTCATTGTGCTTTTAAATGCAAAACGATAGACAGACAGACACACACACACACACACACATATATATATATATATATATATATATATATATATATATATATATATATATAGGCACGGTGGAGTAATGGATAGCGGCTTGGATTGAGGAATCGGAGAGTCGAATCCATTACATTCACTTACGTGCTAATACTCTTGGGAATGGTGTGAATCCTCTTCTTCTGGTTCATACCGGGTTCTATAGCCTTGGATGGCAGAAGAAGGACAACTCTGAATTCAAAACCTGTAGTGCAGCAGGTCTCTGTATTCGGCCCTTCAAAAAGTGTAGATGGTCTTGCAAGAAACCTTCACCACTATAATCAAATCTCATGTGCTGTTGTCGGTTTTCTAGGATCTGATCTGCTTGACCCTCATACGTCGAATTCGACGGAAGAGTCAAGAAATATACATATATATATATATATATATATATATATATATATATATATATATATATGCGTCATACGCTGTATACTTTTCTCTTTCCTGCTCACACATAATGAAATAAAAAGAAACAATACAAGCAGTAATGTTAAGGAAGAAATGGTATTTAATATGTGCTTGACGTGGTGAAGTGTAAATTGGAACAGACAGAAATATAGAGAAAATAGGAGAAAGGAAAACGGGTAAAGAAAGAAAATACTCATGCAGAAAGAGAGAGAGAGAGGGGGGGGGGAGAGAGAAAGAGAGAGAGAGAGAATCATAGCATTTGTGTGTGTTTTTGTGTGTGGTATTCGCGCCTATCTCTGCTTCACTCTAAAAATCTTCTTCATAAAATTGCACCATTGTTGTTTGTCTTCAGTGGTTTGCGATTGGACACAATCAGTCCCTTTGAGCATTTTCCTCCATAAACGCATGGCATATATCAGCCTTTTTGCTTCTGCAGCATTTCGCTCGGCGACATGACAGACAAAAATGTGCCGGGAAGTAGTCAGTGTGGATTAATCAGCTTGACGTAAACATTTCTAACCAGAGGGAAAATTTGTTTGATATCTACTTTGACAGATGTAAATAGACTGAGAGTTAAGGACAAAATCGAATATCGGAGATGGTGCTAAAAAGGGAAACCCAATTTCTAATATCTGACTAAATGAACAACTATTAGGATCATTATTAAAGGCCTCTTCTTGCTCAAGCCTAAAATTGTCAGTATAATATTGTGAGATAGATAGATAGATAGATAGATAGATAGATAGATAGATAGATAGATAGATAGATAGATAGAAAAAGTGAGCTAGAGTGAAATGAAGATAGATAGATAGATAGATAGATAGATAGATAGATAGTTGAAGAGAGTTAGTGATTGAAAGTAAGATGAAGACGACAGGCGAGATATATAGATGAAGTGAGCTATAGTGTGACAGAGTTAGATGAAGAAGGATAGATAGATAGATAGATAGATAGATAGATAGATAGATAGATAGATAGATAGATAGATAGATAGAGCGAGAGATGAAGAGAGTTAGTGATAGACAGTGAGATGAAGACGACCGGATAGATATATAGATGAAGAGAGCTATAGTGAGAGAGAGTTAGATGAAGAAGGCGAGATAGATAGATAGATAGATAGATAGATAGATAGATAGATAGATAGATAGATGAGAGCTAGAGTGATATAGAATGAGATGAAGACGACTGGATAGATATATAGATAAAGTGAACTATAGCGAGAGAGAGTTAGATGAAGATCGATCGATAGATAGATAGATAGATAGATAGATGGAGCGAGTGTGATAGTGCGATGGAGACGGTGAGATAGATAGCTAGCTAGCTAGCTAGATAGATAGATAGATATAACCAGACTGAGCTTTCTATCGTGATGTAAAAAGAAGAATATATGTATATATACATAATGCGATGGGTAAATTGTCGCATTGTGTCTTTTTGATTTTATCAACTGCGCAATATCCTAGGGTCAGTTGGGCATCGCTTGTGAGATAAAGAGCGAAATGACGCAATTCATTCCGCCAGTAATTTGGAAACGACGATATGGAATTGATTGTACATCAATTCTCATGTCCCTTGGGAGAATGCATCTCCGACAGAAAACTAAAAACAAATATATGTGTTGAATATACGACAACTACATTATCAAGACGTCTCACTCTACACATATCTGACCATTCGTCCATTGTGAGACATTTACACCAACAATCCTGTCCACATTTACTGTATAGCAAAATACTGATTGATAACACAACTATTCTCCACCAATAAAATAACAAATTAAAACTACAGATCCTCGAAGCAATCTACATTAAAAGTTGAAGCCGACATTGAATAGGATCAGCTACGAATACAGTAATAATGTTCTAAAATCCCTATTAAAAGAACAGTTTACATTCTCTTATGTGCGCTTGACCATGACATTCCAACATAAAATAAGAAATTCCATAATGGATAATTTTATCACGTTCTAATGAACGCTAAAGCATAACTGTCAGCCGTCGCATTTAAACACAAAAAGAAAAAAAAATCAGTAATGTATAGCGACACATAGTTTTTGCCATATCAGTTGCACCCCTGATGATGATCTCAGAAAGAGATGGAAAGTACTTGGGAAATCAAAGTGACTTTCACTGTTACACTGCATTTCTTGCATCATTTGATTGTAATACACGGGAAAATATTCGTGAGTATGAACGGATTATACTAAAAATAAGCAGACATAATATTTGTAATTTATTTAATCAGTTATGATTAAAGGGGAATTTGCTGCTAAAATACACAGATTATACATACATACATGCATATATATATATGTGTGTGTGTGTGTGTGTGTGTGTGTGTGTGTGTGTGTGTAAGGAAATATATCTAGTAGACCATCTTCAGGACACATTCATAAAACATAATTAACATTAGACTATATTTAATTCAACATGAAAAGACGATGGACATAAGAGTAAGACTAATGTCTTAATGTCTTACAATTGTCTGTTTTGATTAATCTTACTGTTTTCATTAAGACATGTTTCGTTGGAGACGGTGAGATAGATAGCTAGCTAGCTAGATAGATAGATATAACCAGACTGAGCTTTCTAGCGTGATGTAAAATAATTTAGACATGTTCCGCCTGCTTATTTTCGATAAGATCCTTTCATATTCTTGGATAAGCTTTCATGGCGTCATTATTGATGGAAAAGAAAAAATACCTCCATTCATTTTCACGAAAAGAATAAACACAAACTAAAAATTGGTGAAGATATTTATATTTTAAAATTTGAAACCGAACCATAATAAAATTAATTAATTAATTTTAATTAAAATGTGCACAGTAGATAGTTTGAAATGCCAAAGTTTGCACTAATAGTTTTTTTCAAGTACTCATTTCGTTAAAAACTATCCACACCATAACAAGTTACCTCCCCTTAAACGGTGTCAGTGTCACGGTCTGACCCGACATATAAGAAATATAATTTTCAGATGATCACAACAATTTTTGTCTTTTTTTACAATAATGAACACTACAATATTTATCCTGTAATAAACAATACCCTGATGATGACATTGTGCTATGTCGAAAGTCCTCGGAAATAAAAGAAATATGCATCAGCACTGCAATTTTCTCTCGTCCTGCAATAATGACACCAAAACGCTTATTCGTGACAGTCCTAATTATTCAACAAAACATGTCTCATATATATATATATATATATATATATATATATATATATATATATATATATATTCAATGAATACGACAGACAAATTGCTTTTATTTAGTTTTTTACACAATTTCTCATGCGATCTAATAATTTTTTTTCTTTTCGGATGATAAATGATATAAAACGTGTCCGAATGTTCTTTTTATCCGAGCGCTTTAGGCTATACATTTAGCCATTTTCAAGGATTAAATATCTTGAATGTGTTTTGAAAAATGAAAGAATTTTATAAAACATACATACAACAAACTATTTCTTATTTAACAGTTAAAATATTTTATCCTTGAAAATGGCTAAATGTATAGCTGAAAGCGCTCGGATAAAAAGAACATTCGGACAGTTTTTATATAATTTATCACCCGAAAAGAAAAGAAAATTATTAGATCGCATGAGAAATTGTATAAAAAACTAAATAAAAACGCCTTGTCTATAGTTTTCAATGAAATGTGCATGAAAGAAGGATTGCTGCCTCAGTACACAAATATATATATATATATATATATATATATATATGAATGATAAAATATAGTTTTAATGTATTTTAACAAAATAAAACTATAAAAAATAATAGCTGTTTCTGTAACACGAAGAAATAAAAATTTCGAAAGATGTCATGTAACAATAATAATAATAATAATAATAATAATAATAATCATCGGCAAATATAAAATATTATGTATATTCATGGATTTCAAACTGCGAGGTTATGTATTGATTTTATCAAAATGTGTCACCATGTCGTGATCATTTGGTTGTGACGCGTGCACCTGTAGTAAGGGCTTCGTATATTTATATTTTTTAATCATTTAATGCCAATCAAGGCAATAACGCTACTAAGACCCAAGGGGCTTCTGTGAATGTAAGACAATGAAAAAACTTTAGTGGGGAGAAAAGTCAATAAAGAAAAGTATTCACCAAGAGAGAAAATAGCGATTAGAGTTTCATTTGATTATTCTGATGATTTTCAGTGTCAGAGAAGGAAGAGATCAGAAAGGATTTCCACAGTCGTGAAGTGCGAGAAAAGAAATTATAAGAATAGAACATACGGTTACATGTTGCTACTTCAACAGTAAAATGATGAGATTGCCAATCTAGTAATACGTTTGGAATCACGGGGTTGTGGTACCAAAGAAGAGAGCTCATTACAACAACTGCCATGAAAATATTTATTTAAAAAAAGACAGAGGGAAAACACGTCAGGGCGATGGGAAAGTGACTGAAGTCGAGATGCCAGGTCAGGACCGATAACATCACAAACCTTTCTTTAGATTGTCGAGTGTCTCGAGATTTATTACGGAAGCAATAGACCAAAAATGGCAGCAATATTCAATGCACAGGTATGGATTCTGTCTTGTACGACACTTTGAATCCACCTTCTTTGCTGAAGATCTAGCAACTGATGCAATATTGTCGCTCCAATTTATGTCAACAGAAAACGGGACACCAATGCGGAATATATTAGCATCTTGCCGAGGAAAGGCAGAAATTGTTCTCCGGGATTATTAAAGGGTAGCAGTTTCTTTTTGAAAGCGTTAATATTTACAAGCCATTTCTTGCCCCAGTTAACAAATGTTTGGAGGTCATTTTCTCCAGAGGTTGCTAGTTTTAATCTGCCGGACCTTACTATTAAAACAGGAGAATATAATTGTGTCATCAGTATAATACATAGTTGGGAATTAATTATAACGAGAATGGCGTTCACGAAGGTAAGATAAAAAGGTAGGGTCTAAAAATAGAGCCGTGAGGATCCTGTATTAATGTGAAATAATCTAGAAGCGTAGCCGTTCAACACGAATTTATTACAAGAATTGCTAAGCACGATTGGATTAAATCAAATATCTGACCAGAGACACAATAGCTCTTGAGCTTGTAGAGAAGAGCAGGATGACAAGTTCTATCAAACGCCTTCGAGATATCTAAATCCACAGACCGAGCCTCCACGTTTTTATTTAAAGCATGATAGACCAATTAGACTATGAACACATCGGTGGTTGACCGATAGAAAAGAAAGCTTCTTAAGATTCTTAACCAATTTGGAGTTGATTAGAGCCTTTAGTTAGTCACTTGGGCGATCATGTATCTTTTGACACATGACTGACGAGGCAGAAGATTTTTCCCGCAAAAGGTTGCCGTTTCTTTCTGAAGTAGACTGATTGCCAACCAAGGCTAAAGAACCCAGTCTGTCCTGGTATTCAAACCTTAGCTGGGGGGGGGGAGAAGAGATGGATCCATACCTTTCCCAAG